TTTCCCTGCCATATAGCTTGCTACATGCTATCCGCCTTCTGTCGGTAAAGATCAAAAGAAATCGTGCAACATTGTTATTGTAGCATATAGCAACACGTCTAGACTTGCGATATGCGGTTTTCATTTCTAGTGAACATCAGTGCGGTTCGAGGTTCGAGTCCTGACATTACGTTCAATAATTAACCAATTATGGTTAGTAGATACTCGAAATCCTCATCACTAAGTCTACAGAAATTGTGAAAGCTTCCCCTAAATGCTAGGCCACGATTTAAAGCACCGCTATCATCGCTTTTTAGGTCACGTAAAAGTTTACTTCCACTATTGCATGCATATATAGGCCAGGAAACACTACAACAGAACAAATTAATGCACAATTGATTAACCAGTTGGGTAAGGCATTTGCATGCAAAAACCCAACCATTATACTAGGTGATTTCAACTACCCCAACATAAACTGGGATACCCTGGGGGTAATACCGGCTGACAAGAGGGCACAGGATTTTATGGATATGTATAATCAAAGTAACATATACCAATTAATAAGCTTCCCAACTCGATTTAGGAATAGTCAAAGCTCCCTTTTGGACTTGTTTTTGAGCAGCGATAAAAAAAGTATTTTTGACATTCGATCTGAGCCACCAGTTGGGCAAAGTGACCATGTTGTTATTACAGCGAGAGCCCAGATAAAATTACCGCCGAAACAAACCCATAAGATTCAAAAAAGAAATTTTCGCACTGCAAAATATGAGCAAATAAATGGTTATATCAGACAACAGCAGGTTAATGCAGAACAATCAAAATTTGACAACTATCAAAGAATTATTAATGAGGCTATAGAAAGGTATATTCCATTAAGATCAATAAAAGTGAACCAGCAAAAGCCATGGATTACTGCAGCACATTTCAAGGAAATTGATAACAAGCGACAACTATGGGACCGATACAGGCAGAATAAAACGCCAGAAAACTATCAGCTTTACAGAAATCAAAACAACACTCTGAAACAAAAACTATTTGATGCTAGAAAAACATATGAACATAACTTAGCAGCCTCAAAGTCACCTAAGCAGTTGTACAAATACATAAGTAGAGCCTTAAACTCTAAAGTGTCTACAATAACGCTCAAAGATCCAACCAGTCACGAAATTATGGATAACAAAACCATGTCGGAAAAATTTGCATACCAATTTGATAAATCATTCTCTCAACCACAAAACTACACCCCTCCACCACAGCCAGCAAGTATCAGAAACCAGAACTCAATCACCAACATAGTCTTCACTGAAGAGAAGGTAAAAGAGACCCATACGAAAATGAAAAAAGAATCAAGTCCTGGTACAGATGGAATTCCTACAATCTTCCTCCAGAACTGCAGTGAAACAATTAGTTCGTACTTGGCAGAAGTGATGCAAGAGTGTATACATCTGGGAAGGATCCCGGAGCAATGGAAACTGTCAATAGTAACACCGCTATTTAAAAAAGGAGACCGACACAAACCAGAAAATTATCGTCTCATAAGCCTCAACTGTAATCCATTGAAATGCATGGAAAAAATTATTGTGAAAGAATTAACATCATTTTTCACAGAAAACAATTTGATACCTCCATCACAGCATGGATTTCTTCCAAAACGGTCCACTACAACAAACCTAATCGAATGCCTGGATGATTGGACAGAAAACCATGACAACTCCCAACCAACTGACATTATCTATTTGGATTATGAAAAAGCATTCGATAAAGTTCCTCAGAATTATTTGCTTATCAAGCTTGAACACTATGGTGTGCGAGGACAAATACTGTCATTGATAGCAGACTCCCTATACAAAAGACATTATCAAGTGAGAGTGAATGGCGAAATGTCTAAGCAACATCCAGTCAGCAGCGGAGTTATTCAGGGATCAGTAATAGGGCCTTTGCTTTTTACGGCATATCTCTTCGATCTTGTCGACCTGATTGAGACGAAAATGAAAAATTTTGCTGATGATGGTAAAATATATGCAAACCCCTGTCTTAACGCAATTCAGCTCAAGAGAGATCTTCAAAGAATCGAGGAATGGTCCAGTACCTGGGGGATGAAACTAAACGAATCTAAATGCACAGTATTAAGAATTGGTCCAAACAACCCAAACGAACAATACACATTGAATAACACAGTTTTGTCGGTAGTGGAGGAGCAAAATGACCTGGGTGTTATCGTGACTGCAAATTTAAAATGGGAAAACCACATTCTGAAAATAGCCAAAAAGACCAACTCGTTCGTCTACCTTGTAAAACAGGCATTCAAAGACCACACAATGGAAATGATTTCAATACTATATAAAAGCTATATTAGGCCAAAACTTGAGTACGCTTACACAGTATGGAACCCATATTACGTAAAAGATATTGAGATCCTGGAAAAAATACAAAGAAGAGTCACGAAGATACCCAATGAACTGAAAAATTTACCATACCCAGAAAGACTGGAAAGACTTCAATTAACAACGCTAAGGGAGCGAAGACATAGAGGAGACCTTATCGAAACGTATAAAATAATTAGTGGACACTATCAGTGCGAAATCAAGAACATCTTTCGTCTCAACCAGAATCCACAGCTTCGAGGACATTCTATGAAAATAGACAAGGAAAGGGCTGCTAAACTCCAAAGGAAGAATTTTCTGACCAATCGTGTGGTATATTCATGGAATGCACTCACAGAGGAAACGGTTACTGCAGCAAACGTTAATATATTTAAAAATCGTTTAGACAAAGAATTAAGACAGAGTGCAGCAAGAATGATCCATTATGGCGCATAATTAAAGGAAAATGTAAACAATAACAAATTTTAAAGAGACAATAGCTTCATCGGTCCACCGCTTGCTATTGGATAATTACATTATTACATACATTATTACTATATATGTTTTTCGACCGTAGGGTAGGTCGAACCCAAAATCTTCTTTTTTGCCGTTTTTTTCTCTCATTTTTTTCCTCATCCTCAAAAATGATTACGCACGCCGCTGCAGCAAGCAGCGCTTCTTGTTCGCTATACGAGTTCATAATCACTAACTTAGTGTGGACGAAGCACAATTAATTCAACATCTAGCATATAACATTGTTATATGACAATGTTAATGCTATATGTTATTAAGTGTGGACCCTGCTTGATAAACGCGGTAAGTTCGCAAGCAGCCAGTATTTTACCGCCTTTATTACTGGTAGAGCCTAGATACCGCATTCATATTTGGCACAAATTGGTGATAGGAACATACGGCAGGATTTTTGTGTTTAGTTTTAAATAGTTCTAGTTAAGATACGGCGTTCATATATGGCAGACAGCTAAGTTAAAGCAAAAGAACATTTTTGGCAACAAAAACTCGATATTCGAAATTGTTAAACATACAGCGTTTATTCTTAGGAGGGCAGCATATATACTGTGTTGGCCCGAAGGTATATAATTATTTTTCCTAGTAGTATTAAGGAAAAAAAGTATCAAAGGGCTAAGGGGGAAATAAATAAATGGATAGTGGATAGTGGGCATAAAATTAACATTGTTACATAAATTTGTCATATACCTACATATTAGGAATAGGTGGGGATATCTATACCTAAAGCTTTGTTTTCTAAGTAGAATGTTTATTAACGATTGAAAGTGTTATTAGTAGTATTACTGTACTGTTGTTGTTATGGTTATTATAATTCGAGTTATAATTTTATTATTAGTTTAATTTTTTTTCTATATTGTAATGGTTTGTATAGCTGTTGACTTATTAGAGTAGTCAAGTGAAGGTAGATAACCTCAACTAAGTAATTTATCAAGGAAACCAGGTGCACACATAGTATTCTGAGTACTATAGTGCACTGTATCGTATTTAGCAGGGGTAGGAAGATAGGGAGGATTTACTACAGCAAGGGTTATTGCTGTAAGGGTTTCTTTTATTTATTTGTATCCACAGTTGTAGTATATTTGTGTACATTGTCAACTATTGCTGAATAAATAAATAAATAAATACCTAAATATCTCATCCTTCATTATGTTTTAATCAAGGTTTTAATTGCAGGAGAATTTAGGCAAATCAAAACACCATAGAGAGACATATCAAGAAGCTATAAACAGTAACCAAAAGGAAGAGTGGAAAAAAGCAATGGACTCAGCAATCGATTTTCAAAAAAGAAAACAAAATTTGGGTCATTGCAGAGCTACCAGAAAACGCAGAAGCACTAACATGTGAATGGTTGTACAAGCTTAAAACCGAGCTTAAAGCCAATCCTGATGGACATATTGATCCTTATCAAGCAAGGCTAGTCATTAGAGACTTTAACCAAAGAGAAAGCATTGACTACGCAGAACAGACACTTTCTGTCTTGTTCCAGGTCTTGGTACAAGTTACAAGACTACACTTTATTTTTTTCCCAGATAGATTTTGACATTGAAAACTTTGAAACATAAACATAGAATAAACATAAACAATAATGCTTGACCCTGATTGGTCGCAAAATGAGGTGTTTCTACAGGTTGACATCAGTTTTACAATGAGGCAAGCAAAACTATGCAGCAGTTTGATGTGTCAACTGCATTTCTTGAAAGACAACTACCTATACCTATTATCCGTTCACAATCCGATGTCCACAGGTACAGGTACAATTTATCACCTTTCAATGCTATTTGATAGGGAAAGGTGATAAATTTACCTGCGCCCGTGGACATCGGATTGCGAACAGGATATACAAGAGAGCATTTTTATGAAACAACCAGGTGATTACGACCAAGGAAATGAGTGGAATGACTAAGTTAGCAAGTTAAGGAAAAGCTTAGGTATATGGTTTGACACAAGCTTCATGTTGGTACACACGAATCAACAGATCATATCTTCAATAATTAGGTTTCAAGGTAACTGAAGCTGACCAATGCTTGTATGTGAGGAAAGAAATGACAAAAGAATACTCAATACTCTCTACTTGTTGATTTGTTGTGAAAGCAATTTTAGAAAAAAATATTAAAATTACTATAACCTCACCTTCTTCTAATTTTTTAATTTTCCGCTTTAAAAGTTCCTTTAAATCCATATTAATCGATAATATTCTCCACCAAACCCTCGATGACCAAACCTGACAATTATTTTATTGTTTTGTTTACTTTTGGAACTTTATTTTTATTTTTATATTTGGGGTAAACAAAATTTTGACAGAGAGGCTGTCAAGTGTCAGAAATCTTAGGCCATCCGGTGCTGCCAACTTTTCATGAGAACTGAAAAACCGTTTCCTTCTAATCCTTCTATGTACTAGCATTTTCAGTTTTTCTCCTTTAAAAGAGTTTTTTTTTTATTTGCTTCACGTTGAAATTAAATATTAATCCATGGGACTTGATGAGATAAATTTATCAGCAAAATAATGTACTACAAAATAATTATCGGAGAATCGATTTCAAATAAAGCAAGAAAGTTGGTTGTTATTTCGGGATTTTATGCGCACTTGACAACACTGCCACTTTACTATTGACACATATGACACATTCCAATTTTTTTTGTTTTTGACAGTTACAAAAATCTTTTGGCCACAGCAGCTTCTCGAAAAAATATTTTCCCGAATTTCCATCGATTTAGTGCAAATTTTCGCAATTCTAGGACAACGATAAATGGCCCACCGTTGCACGTTTCGAAGGCGGATGCAGTGAACACCGAAAATAATCCTGGTAAAATGAATAAAACGCGAATAAAAATGAAAGGAGGTTAGGAATGTGGGCAGTCGCCCAAACAAGTACTGGAAAACAGGTAAATATTTAAAATTTTCGATGGAATGTGAGGAATGCATCACTAATAGCACCCCAGGGGGCAACTTAATAAATTGCTTATATTGAAGTCACATTTATTCATATTTTTTAATGGAATGTTGCTTGTTATATGATTAAATTTTAGCTGATTTTGATAGCCCTTATAGCAATAATAGTTTAGACCGTTTGCCCCTCTACTCCTAGGTGAAAGAAAAAAGTTAAAATATCCTTAGATATTGAAATAGGAACTACCCTCGGTACTACCTTATCCACTCACTTATCCATTTTACACTAATAATATCCCCAAGGACTAATGTAATTATATTACAATACTGGAAGAAAGGGCTATCTTGAGTTAATACTATATATAGAAGATTTATAGTATTATTGCCTGGATTATTCCATATTGAAATTGTTGAAAACATACATAGACACTTCTAAATTCACATTCATAAAGCTTATAATAGGAAACCAATTTGATATTCTCAACATTTGTACTACAATGTACCTATGATATAATACCTGATAGGGCATCAAAAACTAGTATGTTCAATAAGAAAAATCCAATCATCAAGTTTTTTACAAAGATTATGTATCTGGTCTGGTATAACATAATTAGTATACAGGGTATTCATTCTGAAACTTACAAACCCTATTATCTAGGAGTTGAAAATTTTCAGAAAAAACCCTGAAACACATAAACTATTATTTGAAGGGGGATGAGTTTTTATGCAAAATTTACCTCCCCCCTTTCAACCCCCCAGCCTCCAGAGCCACCCTCTAGAAAATCCTAAATGAGGGGGTCAAGTGATACATCATTTTGGAGGGTTTTTAATTCCATACATTTTCGTACTAAATTTCTCGTAAATTTCAATCCCTAAGTTTAACTGTTTTGTAAATATTGACAGTTAAAAATTGACTTTTTAGCTACTTTGACAGGCTGTTAAACCTAAACAGTTAATTTAGGAGGAAAACTGATCTTACATTCTTGTCTTAGATTTTTATAAACTATCATTTGACAGCAACTTCAAATTTAATCCATGATCGAAAATTTCAGTTAAAAATTTAATCTCTGGTTAAATTCAAAGTTGGTGTCAAATGATAGTTTATGGAAATCTAAGATAAGAATGTAAGATTGGTTTGCCTCAAAAATTAACCGTTTAGGTTTTACAGCCTGTCAAAGTAGCAAAAAAGTCAATTTTTAACTGTCAATATTTCCAAAATAGTTGAAATTAATTGAAAAGTTTAGTACCAAAATGTATGAAATTAAAAACCCTCCAAAATGATGATCACTTGACTACTCTTCCCATTCAAGATTTTCTAGGGGGTGGCTCTGGAGGCTGGTGGGTTAAAACAGGGGAGGTGAATTTTGCATAAAAACTTGTGCCCCCTCAAATTATAGTTGACGTATTTCAGGAATTTTTTCGAAAATTTTTCAACTCCAAGATAATAGGAGTGGTAAATTTTGAAATGAACACCCTGTATATGCAATCATATTAAAAGCCAAAACTAAAAAAATTGGAGAATACCGAGGAGAATACATACAGTAGAACCCCGATTATCCAAATCGCAAGTATCCGACCTCTGGATTAACTAAGCCAACCCAAAGATCCAAAGACCCTTATTATCTGGAGTACTTGTTTCTACTCCGTATTGACCAAGTTTCTGAAATATTTAAATGTCTTGGAATCCTCATGAAATTTCTTTGCAAATTATTTATAATTTAGACTGAAATATGTTGACAACGGCTCACTCAAATCTGATCAATATACACGGTGTCCACTTAGTGCGTGATGCAAGAAAAAAATAATGAAATTACAAAGTCGTTTGATACTCTAATAATATTTTTGAATATACAGACAGGGTGCTCCGTTTATGGGGTATGCGACATACCTTTGTTTTTTTTTTTCAACGAAACACCCTGTATGTGATTGCATTGGATTCTACGTAAAATTCTGAGCAGATTTCATGTAATATACTCTATACCTAAGTTCAACTGTTTTGGAAATATTGACAGTTGAAAATTGATTTTTTGCAACTTTGACAGGCTGCAAAACCTAAACGGTTAATTTTAGACAGAAACCGATTTTACATTCCTGTCAAAATTTTCATAAACTATCATTTATTTGACACCAATTTTGAATGGTTAAAAATTCCAGTTAAATTTAACCGGAGATTAAATTCAAAGTTGGTGTCAAATAATTAATTTATATCTAAGATAGGAATGTAAAATTGGTTTTCCTCTAAAATTACCCGTTTAGGTTTTACAGCCTGTCAAAGTTGCAAAAAGTCAATTTTCAACTGTCAATATGTCCAAAACAGTTGAACTTAGGTATAGGGTATATTAGAATAGAATTTTTATTTCCAAAATGTACAACATAGTATACAAAAAAAAGCTTGCAAAAGCTATATGGAAAATTTAAATCTAATTTTTATCATACAATAAAAATTATTAAATTGAGTTTGGCTTTACATAAAGTCGAGCATAAAGTAAGCAACAAGTTTACAGTAGGTACAGAGAAATGTAAAATACAAGTCAAATTGACAACACACAAACACTTTAAAAAAAAATCTAACAATAAGGAAATATACAGTTGGTAGTCAGTAATAAATATAAACATTTTGGCAGTAAGTAAAATAATCATTTCTAAACTAAAATGGTTAGGGGTTCATTAATGCAAAATTTAGAATGTATGGTTAAAAAATTCGTCTATATTATAAAAAGTGTGAGTATTACATATTACATGAAATCTGCTCAGAATTTTGCGTAGAATCCAAATATGCAATCACATACAGGGTGTTCCATTTAAAATACCAAAGTTCTGTCGCATACCTCATAAACGGAGCACCCTGTATATTCAAAAATATTTTTAACTAATGCATTTTAGGGCCGATACTTTTGCTCTCGATTAACGAATTTAATACGTTGTCAAAGTTTTGCATGGGCTAAGGTCTATAATTATGATGTGTTTAGAGCACATTCTAACACCTGATTATTTTTAACCGCTGTCAAATGAGAGCAAAAGTACTGGCACTTAGAGTATCAAACAACTTTGTGATTTAATTTTTTTTTCTTGCATCACCCTGTAAGGAGATATCGTCCGATATCGTACTATGTGGACACCCTGTATATATATTTGGAATTTATTAGAAAAGATCTTTCATTTTATCGCAAAATATACAGGGTGTTCCATTAAAAAAAGTCGAAGTTGTCTACATTTCTCCATTTTTCAATGCGATTTTGTTTTTTCTGATAACGTTAAAAGAAAATAGAGAAAAAGACTGTCAAGTTTTGTATTTTTTCTATCTTAAAGAGTAAAGGCTATAGGTATGGGTCCAAATATAATCAAATACCCTGAACAAACATATAGTCCGGGAGTTAACAACATATTTCATTGTACCATTTCCGCAAGCTTCATTCTTTTTGTATGTGTTATGCGTGTAGTATATGATAGTAATATGAACGTCTGCCGGCGCACCAACACGACAGGGGGTTACAGCAGGCAGTGCCGGCCCGAGCGTATTCTTAGGATGGAGCGAGATCCGACTTTGGCGCCCCTAATTCAAATGTGAATTGTACTCGAATGAATTTTGCCCAAAACCTATAATATGTCCCTATAATGAAAGTTGTGTGAAAAATGTATTTATTCATTATATTTACTTTTCAAAGAAATCAGTAATCACCCCTTTAACAATAAGGTAGGAAGCTATCTTTTTTATCAACATTTGTTTCTCATTCTTTGATGAGATCAATCAATAATCAACTTTGGTAATAATTATTAATTAACACTATTAAGAATATTAAAACCAATATCCTATGTATATACAGGTCTCCACTATCCCAGAAGGCTAGTTTCTTTGTACAACTTGAGCTGTGCCTAGAGCACCTAACCAGGATCTTTCCTTATAGTCGTACTATTATAACTGGTGATTTTAATATTAATTTATTCCAGGATAACTCAGATAAGTTTCAACTTCTAGACATTTTAAATTCTTTCAATATTATTCCAGTGTTTAATGTACCTACTCGTGTAGGCAGAAACTCATCCACTGCCATTGATTATATATGTACAAATATAAACTCCCTTCTACTAGATAAAAAAGTTTCTGAGAATGGCCTATCTGACCATACCTTTCAACTAATTAGTCTTCACGTTATCTCGAATGCAACTCCTACCACCACCCTAAAAAGAGCTTTTTCGGAAAGAAACAAGGCATATTTTAGACAATTATTAAATGTACACTCTTGGGATGTTTTGGTTGAGGGTAATGGTAATGTCAATGACAGCATGATTTATTTTACTAATACCTTGCAAAGTTACTTTAACATTTGTTTCCCTCTAGTAAAAATGAAAGTAACAAACTATAACACCAATAAACAATGGCTCTCATTAGGTATACGTACTTCCTCAAAAAATCTGAAAAAACTTTTTTATAAACAACTAAAAGGAGAACTCTCTCCAGAATTTTACAAACAGTATAAAAATATTTACAGAAGAACTTTAAAGCTAGCTAAACGTATGTATTATGATAACAAGTTGTCCTTATCCACAAACAAATCAAAAACCGTCTGGGACATTATAAATTCTACAACAAAAAGTCAGAAGAAAGTTGAAATTGAAAGTATTATCTGTAATGATATTGAATACAAAAATCCTAGTCAAATTGCAAACCTCTTTAATTCCTTTTTCATTAATATACCCTTGAAAATCCAAGAAAATCAGAATATAAATAGAATACCCCAGCACAATGTTGTATCTAGGATTGAGAGTACCATTTTCTTACACGATGTTTCAGAGACTGAAATGATGCAAGCAATTAATAATTTAAAAAATACAAACTCAACCGGCCCTGATGAATTCTCATCATCTTTAATTAAAAGCTGTAAAGATCAACTATGTAAACCCCTTTGCTCTCTTCTAAACTTGTGTTTTTCAGAGGCAACATTTCCAGACTGTTTGAAAGTATCTAAAGTTATCTGCTTGCATAAAAAAGATAATA